TCTTCCTTTGATTATAGTTACATGACAGAAAGAAAAAAAAATTATACTGTTGACAATTCACTGAAAAAAAATGAAACTACTGTCTTGATACTTGATTACAATGCTTAATGTAGGCATTTTTTTCACATACTTCATCAGTTACATAATAAAAGAGCACCTTTTTATGCCTCAGTCATTTCCCACAAGAGATAGTTCTTCTTCATTTTTCTTTGACAGTGTCAGTTGTGGTTTTGTTATAATACCTAATACTGTATTAATTTTGAATTAGGAAGACATAAGCAGGTCATTTGGTACATGTATGTTTGAGCGTGTATCAAGGACATCAAACCCAATGTTAATAGAGTTCCCTTTATAGTATCTGTGACTTGAAATACATTTATATTTTATATGGCTCTATGCCTTATTTTTGCATTTGCTTATCTCCTAGTTGCATTGCTAGTTGAAGGAATCAATTTTATCCTTTGTATTCCAAAACTGATCAGTTTTTCTAGGTACTATTTTAATTATCCATAATAGATGGGTAAAATCTATTTTAAATAAACTACAGCTTATTTTTACTTTTACTTTAAGCTCAAACATCATTAGAAAGTCCCTGAATTTTCTGAAGTATGAGTAGGTAATACCCTCTTTTACTTTACCTTTTAAAAATTACTTACACTTCTTCGGTTTGGCTCTTTTAATGCTATTTTAAAGGCTGATTTTCAGTTAGTTCCTCAACACGAGCATTTAGCCTAATAAATTAGCAAGGTAGAATTTAGGAAATATGCCAGACCAGAAGACATTTCAATTAATGGACACTGTGAAAAAGACTGCTGTCTATCCTTTGTCTGTAACTTAATAAAGAGTCATAGAAACACTAAAGTTGAAAAAGACCTCTAAGATCATTGAGTCCAACCTTTATATCTCCTTCTCTGCTTGTATATTGGCACACAAAATTGCTTTTGCTATTTTTAACTAAGGTTGTTGGACATAACTTACCAAAAATAAATGGAAATGAGCAAGTAGTTTTTTCTGATACTATTTACAATGCAATCCATGTTACCTTACTTCACCTCCTGCTACATCACTCCCAGTGTTCTCAGTTCATTCATTCTAATCAGTTACTTTGAATTCCAACTCCTTTTCTGGTTATGTATGCAGAATTTTCAGGTATTCTTTTATAGTTCAAGTAATCTTTACTAAATATGAATTAATATCCATAAGTGGAATACAGGATGTTAGATTGTCCTAAAGTATGAATCTCTGTATGTTTTGGAAAATTTACCAGGTAGATAATCTGTGGTGTGAAAGCTTGTTCTGAAAACACAGTTCCTTTTAAGAAAATAATCTGATCCTTCAAATCTGTGTGCAAGGGCAATTATGATTGTACACTGGCTATTCAGGATGAAAGTTGTTTTAGGCAAAGTAGAAGCCTGAGAAAAGTAAATGATATGGAGAGTGAGGTGAGAAATGGATTCAGCTTATCACAACTAAATTTAGGTATCAAAATGAAGGTGTCTGTGGTGAGGTATCTTTCTGTGCTTTATAGTTAACAGTGGCCTAATCAGCAAGACTAATGTTACAACACCAATAATGTCCTACTTCTGAACGGAGTCACTTTCCAAGCTACATTGTCTGTAATGGAAAATTAGATTCTTAGCTTATGGTTAGATACTTAAGTTTAGATACAGCAATTTATGTGTTCTAAGTTCAAGTGAAATCCCACTTAATGTGTCATATAGCTCATTACTTTGATTTTTGGGACTTGTGCTGGTGCACAGAGCAACATCCTTAAAAATTCATCAGGTAGCTGTGGGCAGACTTTCAAAATATTTAATAATACAGTCCTGATACTTGTTTGTATGGATGACACTAATTGTATGTAAGCACTGTTTTTGTGCCAGCTGCACAGGTTACTTTTTTCCTTGTGTCATCTTAACCCACCGTTTTTGCCAGCTGCATTGTTTTCCGTGTCTCTGCACTGCCACGTCCCCACCAAATGTTGCGTAAGCAGTGAGTGGGTGCTTGTGTTCCCATAGTTTGTGACAGTGAGACCAAAGGTGTAAAGCCAACCCAGGGAGGAGCTGGGTGAATCCACTCAGAGGTGTTGGTACTCATAATCCTCCCAAGAAGGATTTCTGTCTGGCTGTCCAAAGCCAAAGCCCTCAACCCTGAAAGCCTCAAAACAGTGACGCATACCTTGCGTAGCATGGCTTATATGTCCAGGAGCCAGCGTGGCAAAGACCAAATACTTCCCCAGAGAAATTGGGAAATGCAGAGCTTTAGCAACACTGTTTTCTACAGTGCACTGAGTAACTGAAGGGGATATTGTAAGTAAACAATTTGCACAGCTCTACCTGAACACAGAAACATGGACTTGACACAGTAAAAAGTAGAAGAATTTTAATCATCTGTTTATCTTCACATCTTCCTTTATTTAGATTATCCCGAACCTAGTACATGTCCTTCTCCACAAAAGATTCTTACCATCTCCTTTGAACCCTACCTATTCTCCCCTTCTTTCACAAAGTCTTGTTCCCACTGGAACAAGTTCACATATTTCTGTTAAGTACAATCTCGAGAGCTTTTTCCTTGCTAGCTTTCTAGACCAACTTGCTAGATTTTAGGAATGGAAAATAATACTTATAGAATCAAGGTAGCATGCCAGCAGTAGCAGGTACTCATGACTGTTTGAAACTTAAAAGTGAAGGTAAGAATTAAGATTGTGTTCAGGAGCACAGAAATCTGAAGACATGGTTAAAATTACTGTGGTTCAAGACAGAGTTTTGTTTTCAGTTTTTCCGTTGTTGAATACAGCAAATGTCTTGCATATATGTTGTGGCAATTTCCTTTCCTTGTTTAGCAGTACACTTACCAGCAATTCTATTGGATTCAGTGTTTCTTGTGCTATTTATTTTGCCAAGTGTCTAAAGGTCTTTCTTAGTAAATGAGGAGGGGGTTTAGAACAAATATTAAGACAACCTTAGCTAAATCCTCATGATAAATTTGGCTGTGATGCCAAAATAGCTTCTTCGTTGTGGACTAATTTTTCATCCCCACTCCCTGTCATTCTTTCCTATAGTTTCACATTAGAGAATCCTCCTGTCACAAGGGAAGCTTGTGTGAGAGCTGACTCTCCAGAGCCTATTCCAAGTCTGAAAACAGACAGTGCTGTCAAGTACAGGACAGATTCTATTAAGTAGAGAAGACTTTAGACTGCCAAGTGGATCTTGACACAAGAGAATTTGACCCTACACATACAAATTTCAACTCTGTTTCTGAAATAAATCTGTGTGACAGTTTTTGGGTTTTGCCTTGTTCAAACGTGCAACTATTTGGTCCACAGAATAACACAGTTTAAGTATAGGAACACCATTTGCTAATGTCAAAACATTGTTTATCTACAATATAATCTCTTGTGATGGTGTATTTATTTGCCGTATACTTGCTTGAGTTATTTTCATCAAGAAATTCTGTCTATGTGTTGCTTTGGCAACATCTTTGCAGAGTTTACAACTTTGAAAAACATGTTGGCATCAGCTATGCAGTCCTTTTAAACAGCTGCTCTGCAGTCATGCTGTTTCAACATGCCACCACACATGGCTGAATTATGCAAATAGTTAATATTAAATGACTGAGATACAAGAACAATTTGTACACTCGATAAAGCTGGTCTGTAGAGTGTAACTTCCATTCATGTAACTCAGTTAGCGTTCAACAATTTAAGGGCTTCAGCATGTTTCTTTTGACTTTGCTTCTTGTATTAAAGGCAGCAGTGGACAGAGAGAAGGTATATGGCAGGAATATTTTAAAAGACTGACAGTTTTTTTTAACTCATTACTAATAATTCAGTGAAAATAGAATGTACATCAATTTAATTTTCCAGTAGGTATTAAATAGGTAAGATTTAACAAATACTTGTCATTCAGCTATAAACAGAAACTACCCTTTTCTGATTGAGAGATGAGACAGAATGTTAATTATATATAAGGCTAATACAGTAATAGTGTTGCTTATTGACAACACCATTTGTAAAAAGCAAGCAAACAAAAACATTAATATTTTAGAACATGTAAAATCGTCTTAAAATTTACATTGAAAGGCTTTTCTACTGATCTTGCTGTTCTAATTCTACAATAATGAATGCTCTAAATAAAACCACTAATAGTAATAACAATAATTAATGCTTTACATTTTGTAACTTATTTTATAATAATCATACCCATTATATGGGGGGGGGAGGGGGAATATTAGGAGGTAGGTGTGATTAAAGATTACAAAAGAAGATGTCCAGTTAAAGTCAGAAAATGCTATGTTTTTTCCTTTATTACTCTACTGTACATTTTGAGTAATCTGTTTTGTTCAGATTCAAGTATTAAGGAAAGAATACATTTTTAATTCAAATTGTTTTTAAAGCAAACTACTAGGATATCTGAAAAAATTGCTGCCTTTCTATATGTTCTCATTCCTTTTTCAACACTGGAACTTTCATTTTTCACAAAACTTCTTTTCCTTTCTGATCCTCTTTTTGCTGTACATCTTCTAAAAGTTCTTCATTGATTTTTCTTTTCTAATCTAGATATAGAGAAATATTTCTAGTAATGTATTTATAAAATTTCTGTGCAAGACTTAGTGCTCAAAAGTACAAGTTGTCACAGTCATTCAAATTAGATTTGTACACTCCCTCAGCCTGAAAAAATAAATGCAAAAGAATTTTTTTAAGTGGAATAGAAGTCAAAGTTGAAAGAGATAACGTGCTTCTTACTACACAGTAAATGTTCTCTTTTACAGCCTTTAAGCAAGACAAAATTTGAGTTGTAGAAATCCTCTGTGCCTGTTTTATTTTCCTAATTTGCTAGGGTTTAAGTAGTAATCTTACTAATTATAGCAAGTATATATTCTTTTTTACATTTACTGATCTATGTTTGGCGAATATAAATTTATTGTTAACAAATACATATTTATTGGTTCAAATGTAATTTAACTTAATAATTTAGCATTGTTCTTTTGTGGTTTTATAGGAACTAGCCACAATGAAGCAGATTATTTTTACTCTACGTGGTAAACGCTCTGAACAAAATCTACCTCGGTCTCATATTGATGTAAAAAGTGCAATTGGAAAACAGTCAATCCCTTTGGTAAAACTGCTGCCAGAGCATGAAGAAGAAAATATATTTACACCTAAGCCAACATTATTTGTAAGTACTATGAGAAGAGTAAGTGCCAAAACTTCTGATGGTTCTCCTCACTTTTTAAAAAGAAAAATGTGGATTCATCCTTCTGGGAGATGTATAATTAATTCATCTCTTTTTGGAAACAGTCAGTGTTGAGGAGAAAAATTAAGAGTTTGTGATGTTTTTTAGCTATGGGGTTACTTTCTATATCTTAAGTTCATAGCAAATCAGGTCTTTAAAAAAAATAATACCATTGTTGTATTACAACACTGAGTAGCTAGCAAGATTTTAATAGTTGTAGGGATTCACAGACCATGTATACTAATTTAAATCTGCCATGATTGTGTGTAAGTGCAGTTTGTGCGTGTCTATATTGAGAAGCAGGAGTGAGGAGATAGGTGTACTTCTGCATACTTAAATTGATGTATATTAATGTGTATGTGCTTATGTATCTAAATATATATAAAAAACAGAGCATTGATATCACTTCTGTTGCTAAGGAAACCTGATGTTATAAAACCAGTATAAAGCCCTGGTTTATTCCTTCACAAACTAAAAGCTTGGCTTTTAATATTTGAATTGGCCTACTTCAGATTTAGTGCCTCTGCTATTGGAAAGTTTCATGAAAATGGTTTAGAAGTTTCTGGCTATGACTGTGTATGAACTGATAGATTCAAGACAGCCAAGTTGCAATGCTGAATCACAAAGCAAGTCATTACTCTTACTTACAAACTTCATGATGCTGCCTTTCTCTGGGGTGAACTGGGTGTATCCACACTGCATAGCATATGTGCTGATTTAGTCCAAAGAAAACTCTTTTTTCTTTTTTGTCTTTTTTTCCCCCCTTATTCTGTTGGGGTTTTTTTCCCTGGTACAGACTTTAACATACGGTGTCTTAAATTATATGAGGTTTGTAGTGTAGCAGACCATGTATTGGGTGTATAACACAAAAAGCATGAAACATCTCTGGGATGTGATGTGAGGACATTTAGGAGTTCAAATTTTGCTTGAATAGCATTATTAGACTAAACACAGGCTTATCCAGTGCTGTTTCCTCCATAGTCCTTTTGGTAGTGCTAAATCATACTGCCCAAACTTTGGTTTTGATGGAGCTATTCAGTGATCCGAAACATAAGCAAACAGTTTGTGTAAATGATCTGGGGATATTTCCTTGCATAATCTGTCCTGTCTTAATTAGGGATATAGAAACTCTATAGAAATCCAGAAAAACTACATTTACATTAAGAAATTGTAACCAATTTTTCTGTGGAAAAACTCTAGCCTTTGCAGACTTAGGAGTAGGGAACTGAAAATGGGCAGATGGCACAGGTTTTCTTCTTAGATAGGAAAAGAAATCAGTCTTCCTGTGAAAATCCTGCCAGTTTAGGTCAATTTCCAGAAATCTAAAGCTTGCACAAATAGACCAGATTTGTTTTTGTAACTGAAGTCTTCAAAAATAATAAAGTAGATTTTTAAATTGAGTGCTTTTTAAGTGTTAGAGGAAAGAATTAATAGAGAGCAGTCAGAAAAGGGAACTAGAAGGGAACAAGTTTAGGTACGACTGAGACAGTGCTCATTAATTCAAGAGATCATACCCAACCCTGAAAGCAGAATAGACCTTACCTTGTTCCACCTCCACTTGATTAGTTTTATTTCTATTAAAACTTAAACTATTTTATTTTATACAAACCACCACTGCATTTGCCATAAGCAATCCTGACTGTGTAGCAGTAACCCATAGGGTTAAGAAGGCAAGGAAAAGTTGTTCACAGATAATTCTCTGCAATTAAAATACCTTGTACAGAGTTAGAAAACCACTGTATTCTTTTATTTTCAATTAATTTTTTTTAAGAACTATATTTCTGTATAAAGTATTGGTCAGTTTTGGCACACCTAAGGTCTCTTTTCTAAGATTCATTCCTTTCTTAGCTGGAAAATGCAGATGATTATTTCAAATGAAATATTTCATGTTATTTCAAATGAAGCCTATTTATGGCACAGTTGATGCTTGTTTTCATTATGATGGGTATTTTTTTTCATTATTTCATTTTCAACATATAATCTTCTTTTTTATAACCTGGAAATTGGGAGGTGTTAATACTGGTATGTTGTAATAGTAACTTAAAATGTGTAGTTTTGGTTTTGATATTTGCATTGAAGCAAAGAACTCAACTTTGAACTACACAGGAAGGAGGGAGACTTGTGTAGATTGTAGACTGCATGTTCTTCTGTTCACTTGTCTCACAAGTAAATGTTCTTTCTTTTACAGACAAATAAAGAGGTACCTGTGTGGTACAAGAAACTGAAGAAGAAAACATCAGCATAGCATTTTTCAAAAATTATTCAAAATAATCCTTTGGGGAGCTTTTCTTTAAAGAAAGTTATTTTCACCATAGTGATGATCATTTTACTGTAAAAGCAAACAACTATTTTGGTTTTAAATGTTTCTTTTTTGACTGTCATATAATCTTATGCTTCATAAAATAATTTCTAGGTTTCTCATGTGAATAAAATGTGTGAAACTGATACATGCAATAATTTTGCTAACATTTATTTGAATTTTAAAAGATAAATAAACACTAGTGTGTTCTACAAGTTCTAATCTGGGTAGGTAAAGGATGTGTTATTCAGAGTGTTCAAATTAATGCATGTTTCAGCCTTTTTATATTGTTTTTCCTGGACCCTGTGTTTCATGCCACATTTCTTGGAACTATTCTGACTAATGGAGATTTTCAAAATTTACATGCGTTAGTATCGCACTTTCTATGAAGGAAATTCATGTCAGCTGGAAACAAAATTTCTTACTGGCCATGATTTGTAATTCATCACTTGATGTCATTTGTATAACCAAACAGGCATTAAAAATACTTTAAAGAAGCAATAAAATAGATCTTAATTATCAGCACTGATACTTAATGGTGTAGACAGTAGTGCAGTTCCATCAATGTAATAATAAAAATAGAACCATGATGGGTTAGGACTGTGGTGTGTAATAGGGAAATGGATAACTTACCATATTTAATTGTATGAAAATAAGCTCCAAAGTCCAAGAACACATTCTGCTTGTTTATTCCACTTAACCATCTATTCTGACTATACAAAAGTTCTCTAATTTTTCAAAGCATTCTTGACTGCATATGGTGTGTTTCTATGTGTAATATAAATACAGATCTTTTAAGTACTGCATACTGAAAATATTGCTCAGATTTAATTTAAGAGAAAGCTCCTTCTTCTTAGTGCCTTTTTCCTTGACAATATCTCTTAAATTAGTTATTTTTTCTAACCTCCACATGAACAGTATTTATTTACTATATAATACTGAGCTATATCAAGTTATGATTCCCAGATACACTTTTCTTCATTTTCCAAACAGCTGAAGCACAGTAATACCTCCTCTGCTCCAGGAAAGCTTCAGTTTCCTTTTTTTCATTTTCTTGTTCTGAGAGACGTAGGTAAAAATGCTGGCAATTGCACATCACGGGTTTAAAGTTATCATCTGTGAGTGAGGGAGGCCAAGTGTGTAGACAGAGGTGATGATCTTTTATTAGACTAACTGCTGTTCACTGGGGAAAAAAATCACACAAACTTTTGGGCTTACAAACCTTCAGTACAGTAATTTCTGAATTTCTAAAGTTTCCTGAAAGCTAGGTTTTGTCTAACATATATTTTTATGTGACTAGAATCCTTAACTTTTATTTCCTATTAAAGAGCTTCCATATGCAGATACTAATTTTGTAGATTGTAATAGATATTTTATATGATTTTCATTCAGTCCCTAAATGAACTTCCCATACTATTCTGTTTGTCCGTTATCACTGAATAATTAATAAATTGTATTATCTAGAAGGACTGTGAGCTATTTTAGCAAGATACTATTTGGAATCTGAAGTATTTCCAATTTGTTTTCCTATGGTGTCTTTATAGACAAATTGGTGAGATACAGACTGTAAGATGGGTGAACAAAACACAATCAACAATGCCATGTCCTGCTGGAATAGTGTCATCCCTTGGCAAGTTCACAGGCAATACCAGATATGAGGGAGTAGACTATACACTGGAAGGAAAGGTCTCAGGATCTCAAATTGAGATGGAAATTGGGTCAACAAGAAACGTATGAAGTTCAACAAAAGCAATTGCAGCCCCACATCCAGGATGTGATAACCCCATATGCCAATACTGCTGCAAAGCAGCTTGACAGAAACAGACCTGAAGGTCCCAGTGGACAGCAAATGGAATATGAGTCAGTAATGTGCCAGCCAGCCACATCCTAGGTGCTTATTACCAACAGGATAGTCAGCAGATGCAGGGAAGTGATCCTTCCCTTCTGTTTGGCACATGGGAGGTCACATATGGACTCTTGTATCCAGTTTTGGGCTTGTTCAAGAAAGGCATTGACATATTGCAGTGAGTCTAGCAGTGGTGCACCAAGATGGTCAGGGCTAAAACACCTGATGTAGAAGGGGAGGTGGAAAGCACTGGACTTGTATAGTGTTAATATTAGAGAACTTAGGGGAGGAACTTGTAGTCTCCAACTACCAAATGGGATGGTACAGAGACAAGAGAGCCTGACTCAGCTCAGAGATGCACAGCAATAGCCCAAGAGACAATGGACACCAGATGGAGCACTAGAAAACTCAATTAGCTATTATGAACAATGCTTTTACTGTGAGAATGGTCAAATACTGAAACAAGCTGCCTAGAGAGGTGGTGCAATCTTCATCCTTGGAGTTATTCAGAGCCCAACAAACTCCTGAGCAAACTAGTATAATTGGACCGACTTTGAGATGGACTAGATGACTGATTTTCAGAATTCCAATTAAATTACTCTGTGGTGTTATTTCTAAATAATCTGATATCAGATAGTGACATTAATTTACTTTGTACCATCCAAAAGGCAAAATTCCATTTAATTCTTCCAAGGAAGTGCAATACACAGGAACATTTTTACTCTTAGAGAGTAACTATGCTTTGTAAATTTCTGTGTCCTCCAAGCAGCCTGATTTTCTAAGAAGGCTGACAGAAAATTAGGCTGATTTTGTGGTGAAATTTTATTGATATTTAAACAGTTCTTCAGATGGCAAAGTGACTTATTCTGTCAAAGCGTTGTGGTTTTTAGGGGTTTTTTTTGTAATTATTAACAAGTCCATCCTTAAATGTGCAAAAATAAAAGTAGTTTATTAGAATATACTGATAACACACAATGCTGTTGGTAAATTCTTGTAATACATGTTCTCCTTTTGTAAATCTCCTTAATACATTGGGCTTTTTTTAGTTGAAGACTGTATTTTTCCTGTGATTCTTCACTAGACTGCGAGGCTGTAATTAATTATCTAGGAGGAGACCTTCTAAGCTTCTCATGAGAAAGCTAGAATGTCACTTAAATATAACCATTCACATGTGAGATGCCCTACAGCAAAAATTAATGAAGCATTTTGCTCTCCATTTAATGAAAAGGCTCAGTTGCACTACCTGTACAGCACTTTTACTGATGTTCTTTCCCACAAACATTGTTGTCAAATGAATTATTCCACAATTCTTCTTCATGGTCTTTGCAGTCTTCTATTTTCACAGGCCTTGTGTCAGTGATGTGTGAGTCAAAAATAATGAAGTAAAGAGAAATTTCGAAGGGTAGTCATGCATGTAAGCAACTTGTGACTGAAGTGCCCAACCCACATAATCATCTTCAGTTCCTCTTTTTCAAACCAAAGGGAGCAAAGCCAAAAAAATCTCTATCTGCTATTACATTTCTTGGTACATTAAGTAGGTGTTACTTAAGTGATAAGTTTCATAAATACCTGGGTTGAACAGGAAAGAAAGAAAGACAATGCTTTAGAACAGGTTAGGATTTTCGGGGTTCTTTAACACTGTAATTGCTTTCTCACCTTTCTGTCCCTTGTCTGAAGCCAAGAAGCTGTAGTGCATCAAGGTAATCTCTTGTTTGAGGAAAAAACTGAAAATATAATTGCTTTTTTAAATAAGGCCTAAACTTTTAAGGCTTACTTACCACTCACTGTGGTCATAATTCACTCACACTGTAGTTTCTAAATATTTCCTGTACAAAGAAACAATATGGATTAGTCTTCATTCCCTCAAGATTTTCTGTACAAAACAGCAATGAAGTCTTTTAAAAGAGGAACATCTGTGAATTCAGATATCAATTGAGAATTTGTCAGTATCACTGCTATACAATTTTCTACCTCTTACACATTACCTGTTATTTTCTTTTTCTTCAGTTACATTTTTTTATGATACCTAGTTCCAGCAAAAAAAGAGGAACACTTAAATCTATTAAACCTCTGACATCTGCAAAATGGTCAGGCAGAATTCTTTTACTCCTGGTAGGCATTCATTAACTTCCATGTCTTTGAAAGACATGACTCAGAGAGCATGACATTGTGGAAACAAATTACTACCTTTGAAGAAGTATTTATGTTATTATGTATATGTGTCTCAATCAATTGTCAGTCTGTAGCACATTTACATGAAAACAGATTTATACACAACAGTTTGAGTCTGTAACATCCTGTCATCTTTCAGGGTTGTGCTTATTAGGGAGGTCTACTGAGGAAAGCATTTCTCTCCCTGTTAACATTACATTTAATAGATCATATGGCAGACTTCTTACTGAGTCAAAGAAATGTATCCCTGGTATTTTCTTATACCAAAGAATATCGAGAATCTGTATTCATTCTCGACCTTTGAAAATGAAACAAGTATCTCTAGAAGATCAAGTTTTGCTTAGTGTCTTTGGGCAATATTATCCCCTTCTTAAATTCCTGGGATTGATTGGGAACTCTTGACCTTTAAAGCGCATACTTCCGCAGCTTCATTAGGGCAGTTACGCTTAGGGTATTTCAGACTGCGGCTGGGCAGCAATCTGCAGCAGCAGAGGGTGCCAACTCTCGGGGGACGGCATCATGAGCGGAAATGGACAGCACTTGGGAATTGCGGAAGAGTGAGTGGCGAGCACTGCAGAAGCTTTTAGCAGCAGAAGTAGGTACCGCTCTTCACAGGTGTTAGACCCTCTGCAGCTCTTTTAAGCCCTCTGCTGACAACACAAGAACCACAAAATTTCTTCCACAGAGGTCATTTTGTGGAGTTCCCTGGGTTTCTTTCCTCACTGATAAGTTTTCCATAACAGTAAATACCTGTGGTTTCTGTTTCTTGGTTTTTCTTTTAGAGAGAAAAAGACTTTCTCAGGATGTTTGACCTAGGTTAAAAAAAAATTGAGTATTTCAATCAGCTTACCCTTTAAAGGATGAAGGGGACAAAAACTCCCAGCAAATTTCATCTTCATGAAAGGAGCAAATGGCAGAAGTACTAAATGTAAGAAGTTAGGATTGATCATGGAAACAGCTTTTACTCAAAAACTTACATGTTTTCACAGACTATGTGCCCTTTTTGAAGATACTACAGAAATAACCACAGTAAAAGAGAATGCCGCTTTGACTGTAGCAATAGAATCAACTTTGTTTGACCATGAATAATTGAAGTCTTTGTGTTAATGCTCCTTTTAAGGGAGTAGT